GAGATGCCACAAGCTTAAACAATTAGCAATGCAAAAAAAAAAAACAAAACAGAGAAGGAAAACTCAGCTTATTCACCAATGCCCTGAATTTCCCAAAAAAGCCTCTAGTTTGGAAAAAGAAAAGCAGATTATTTGTACAAACTAATTCTTGCTATCTGCTATCAGTGTGCTTTCAGCAGGGGGATTTTCTGATGAAGGCCCTGGATCATTTCCCAACCAGCAGCTCCATCAGGGGCGCCTTGGCTGCTTTGGCAGCCCCATTTAAATACCAGGCGAGTGCTCGGAGATAAAAGGTTTTTAAATGTAACCTCTCAGAAGATGAGACGCTGTCAATTCCCTTCTCCAAAGTGCATTTTAGGGATGCTTTACTTGCATTTGGGGCAACACAGAATAATGCAAATCTGGGCCACGCAGACTGGGGCTGTCAAACAGCCAAGCAAATCACTGGGATCTCACATCTAATACTCAAATCACACATTTTGCTGTCTTAGAGCTACACAAACTTAGAAAAGAGCATCCCAGATGCAAAATTTAACATACACCACCCATGTGATAATTTCTCCCTTGCTCATGTTAACCAATTTGCATAAAACCATACAGAATAGGTGATGCACGGTGGGTATTCTGAAGAATATTTGATTAACTTATTACCCATAAATTCAAATTAACACGAGTCTGTAGCAGGGTAAAAACAAACAAACAAAAAATGGTATTGCTGGCACTTAAATAAATACAGGCTCTACTTCAAAAACTTCCTTGAAACTTGAACAATTTTTGTACTAAAATTAATCGCCAGGCAGATGTACAGCATTATAAGGCTTGCAATTATTGCTTAAAACGTTTTCCATTTAAACATAAAACTCATAAAACTGAAGATTCAAGAGTAAATAAATCATTACTTTCCTGTGCTGTGCCTTCAACAGGCACTGCAAAGCCTTTTTCTTCCACTTAGTATTTTAATTTAGAAGAAAATAGTTGTTTTCTGTATGAAGCTAATAGAAAGTTAAATTAATCCCAAGTTTATTTTTTAAGAAATAATTCCTCATACTTAAATGCCAACAACAACAGCTCCCACAGGAGAATTATCAGCTGGTTTTAATCTGAACATCCCCAGTGCATCAAGGGCCCCAGACTTGTCCCCAGATCATTTCTGAGGAGCACCCAGAGAGGAAAGGAAGCCCCCGAGTTTCACTGTGGGGCTGCAGGGGCTGTCAGACAGCTCTGGGAGCACAAATGCACATCAGGAGAGGATCCACGCCTGCCAGCAAGGCAGCTCTTTCATTCCATAAAAAGGATTCTCTCCTAATGAATGGTGTTCCTTACTGGAAATTAAAATTAGTTCACAAATTGCTGCTGTTCCATTTAATGATAAGATGAATGCACAGCGCTTTGAATTTTTTTTTATCTGCAGTAATTTTTGCTCTTTCATTCATCATTCCCTTAATTTCGCAACTCTTTAAAAAAAAAAAAAAAGCTTTGAATTCCTCACATGTATGCAATCAGTCAGAAAAGCCACGTGGCAGCACTGATTGCTCTGGGAGGCAAAAGATTTCAATAACTTGAGGCGCATTAATGTCCCTGATTAGGGTAAATGATCAGCTGGAAAGCAGAAAAGCCACACAAGGTCTCCATTTGAGGCTCATGCAGGACACTCTGGAGGGATAAAAGGAATAAACTCATGCCAGGTATTTTATAAAACACACACAGCCCAAGTTATCCCTGTGCAGGGAGCAGGATAACAAAAACCATGAACCAGTGACCAAATATGTGCCCTTGGGACAACATTCACAGCTCCTGTCTATAGCAGGAGCTATATATATAATATATTTCTAGAGGAATTAATTTATATTTCTAGAGGAACAAACTTTAGTTTGTGTGTATGTTGGGAGGGAGAAAGAAGTGATATTTATTATTCATGTATTTATAGTTCTAAATCAATATTAATGTTAACTCAGTGCAACTTTCCATTTGTTCCCTCTGAAATTGCTTTTCAATTCAGTTGTTTTTAATCTTAGTTAATAACATTTCCATTTAAATTCCATGAATGTGAATACTTTTCTCAATCCCCAACCAGACACCCGTGTTTTAACATCACTGAAATCTCTGTATACACTTACAGCACACAAATACAAAATTCAGAATTCTGCGCTTTGGAAAAATCTTCAATCAGAGGCACAAACACTGAAATAAAAGCAGGAGTGAAAGGCGGGCTGGGCACAGTCTGTAATTACTTTTCTAAACTGTTGAATCAGACTCCCCAGTGCTGCATGCAGCAGGGATAATTATAAAAGGAACCTCTCCCATTTAAAGCTGAATTATTTACAAATGGATCTTCAGGTAAAACAATTCCAGTCACGGATCAGATCATGGAAAAGTTGTTTCAGGAATCACACCTGAGTTATTTAACATAGCAAGAAATTCACAGAAGGACCATTTGAATCCCTTTATTTTCTTCAGCCACACTGCACTGAGATGAATAACTGTATATGCTAAATAAAAATCTGATTAAGTGAAGAGAAAAATTATCTTGCTTAGAAACTGGGCAAGGAAAAAAACCCAAAATGAAAATGCAGGTAGAATTTCTATTCATCTTCTTGTCACTCACAGCATCAAAAGCTTATTTGTTAAAAAAAAGTTAGAAAAACTGAAATGACTTAAATTGTTTGACAGAATTTGATTCTGTATTTTGACTATTAATTTAATTATTACACATTCATATTATGAATGGTATTTTTCTTGTCACTGGCCTCCTACATGAATTTAATACACCAAGCATGATCGATCCCTCTCACATCCTCTGAAGAAAGTCTCATCCACAACTCCTGGTAAATAACTTTGTTTATGACAGGAATGAGAAACTCTGCCTTGAATATTCTAATTGCTGCATCCCAAAACTCCACTGAGACATCTCAGATTTTCCCAAACACTCAGAGAGACGTTCAGCCTGAAATTCTGTAACTTTGCCATCTCAGGATGTGCCATCACCCACAAACCTCCAGGCAGCTGAGGAAATCAAACAAACACACACTGCAGACTCGGGTGTCACTTACACACTCTCCAAAATGATTCTCCAATCTAATAAAAAACATGGGAGTGTAGAAAGCCTTAATCATATTCAGAGATAAGCAGAAACAAAGTGGATCCCTTGATCCAAGGGGAGATGACTTTTGAAATAAAAGCACAGAACTTATCAGGTCATCTGCTGATTATGGAAACACCAATGCCCAGGGGGAGGCAGCCCCTGGCTCCAGCCTTATCTCAGCTCCCAGTGCTGATAAAACAGGCAGGAATCAACCGGGAGGAATCCACCTGCAATCACCCAGCCAGCCTGCCCAGGACCCTGCAGCAATGCACTTGCAAATATTTCAGAGGCTCCTCCCATTCCGGCCAACACAAAGAAACATCAGTACTTTGTTTTTTTTACACTTTGTTTTTTCTACACTTCTGCATAGTCAGACAATGCAGAAACGTAAAGACAAAACAAACCTTTTCTTCTCTGAGAAATGCAGGTGATAAGCTGCAGAGAGAACAATGTTCAATATTATCTTCTTGGCTCCTTTTCCTCACCAAACCATCTCGGAGTGATTCTAATCATGGCTCTAAGCAAACACACAGGCAGCAAAACAAAAATACAACTGAGCAATCAGTTCTGTAACCTGGAAAGCAGAGCTGTCAAATTTAACAGGAAAAAAACAGTGGAAAAGGTGCATTTCATAAATTAGTTTGGTTTATGAACCAAAGTGAGGCCAATGTGACAGAATTCAGCCTCTGATGGGGTGACAAGGCACAGAACAATTACAGGGCAATATTGAAAGATTTTCTGATGTGAATGAAGCTCAGGAAATAATAACGAGCTTTGTTTAATAGCAGAACTGATAAAAGTGATTACCAGCAGCACACAGGACAAGGTGCAGGGGAAGATGGAAGGAATCAGAAACAATTTCCCACTTAGTCAGGAGTTGTCTCCTTAAGCTGCTTTCCAGCAGCCTTGTCAGAAACTTAAAATAAATCCATCCAGGAGATGTTAAATATCTGCTTCTGAAATTTCTGTCACTGACTCCATTCAGATGGTAAATCCTGCAAAAAACTGACTTTGAGCAAAGAGAGGAGAAATCTTCATTGCAGCCACCTACCAAACGTGCTGAGCAGCTGTGAATGGATCTAAACACCAAAGTTCTCCTTTTTCTCTTCTCTGAAAACCCCAAACCCACCAGTTCTGCTGCAGCAGGAAAGGAGAGACCTCACAGGAATATCTGAGCTTCTGGAAATGCACAAAATGCCCTGGCCTTGGCACCACACCCCAAATGCTCCACTATTTCTACACAGAGCTGGGATTTGTGCACAATAAAAACCTGGGAATTTTTTTTTAAAGGGATTTTTCTCAGTCTTTCCTGCACTTTTGTGAGCTTCTTGTATCTTCAGCAGACTTGTTACTTTAAAGTTTTGAACAAAATGAAAGGTGGATATACAAAAACAAGCTAGACAGACATCATATTACAGTTCCCCCCAGATTTTACTTAAAGAATCCATAGTCTCTATTCTCTACAGAAATTAAGGGACATAACACTTCAGAGTGAAAACAAACATAAATATTCCTCTAAAACGTTAAAAATAGAACTTCAAACCATTAGAAAAATTGATATACTCTGCCCTTCAAAAAACACCACATCTGGAGCTAAAATAATAAATACATCAACTTTACTGCAGGTGTTTTTCTAAAATTGAATAAATAATGCTTTTCAGACAGAAAAAAACATCTCCATACTGAGTTTATGGCTGCTCAGTGTAACCACTTCCTTCAGGAAAGCTGTCTAGGCACCCCTGGAAAATCTGATTTTTGATGCTTTCAAATCTTTGCTTGCTTACATTCACCACACCCACTGCTGCTTTTTCTCTGCTCTGGAACAAATGCATGAAAAGAGACTTTAAACCTATTTTGGAGCGCTGCAAATGCCCGAGCAGAGGATGGGAACGCTCAGATCACCCGTGCCAAAGGATATGCTCATCTTCTCCACAAACTTGTCGTGCTCGTCCTGGCTCTTGGGGAAGTTCTCAATGTCCTTCTCCAGGCGCTGGATCTGCTGGTTCATGGAATCCAGGTTGCTCTTCAGAGTCTGGGCTGAAACTAAGGGCAAAAAAAAGAGTTTATAAAGTGACTCCAGAAAGGGTATCAGAAGAGGAAAAAACAATGGCAGTATAAATAATCTGAAAGAGAACGGTTCCATTAAGTAGATTCATATTTTTCTGAATTACAGCTCGTAAAAAAATCCTTCCCTTCATAAAAATAAATGGAAAATATCTACTGTAATATACCAGATCATCATATTTAACATTGAAATGTCACCACTTAATTCTACCATTAGTTCAAATTATTCCATTTCTATTTAAATTTATGATAAAATTTCCAATATTTCTAATATTATTATTTCTAATATTCTTTTAAATCTAATTCAAAGATTAAAAACTAACTAGAGTTCAAAGAGATTTCATCTTCTTAATGCATGTACTTGGTTAAATGAATGATCTTATTAAGGCACATTTCTGTTACAGGAATGATTTAAAGAATAGACATGGGGGAAAAAAAATTAAATATTTTTTCTTATATTGAAGTTACTCTGATTTCTGGAGCCCAGAGCTGTGTTAATAGCAAAGGTAGGTCTGAATAATAAAAGCTGCTGATAATCAAAAGGAAGGAAAGGACTCAGTACAGCACACTAATTACAAAAAAAAGAGAGGACTGTAAAGAACTCCTGCTTGCTGTGTGAGAAGCCATTCTAATGAAAAGCTCTGTGCTGCCAATTTGGATTAAACAGCCCCCGATTGATGCACCCTGTGAGCAGGAAATGGCAGCAGCATGGTGGGGGGCAGCAGCCCCACCTGACACAGGAGCCCCAGAGCTGGATAAAAGTGACAGAGCCCTGCAGAGACAGCTGGGGAATTAACCTGAACTGGAAATATTGAAATATTGAAATATTGAAATATTGAAATATTGAAATATTGAAATGCAGAAGCCATGAGGCCCATTTGTCAGGCTGGTTTTGATCCCAAAGAACAACTGGCCAAGCTCTTGCTCTCCACTCAATCCCCTTTGCAACCCAAGGCTCTCTCCCATTCCTTGGCTCCTCTCGCACAGCTCAAACCTCAGTGCCCTTAGGGAAAAGCAGAGAATCCCAAAACCCCTTTGCCCCAGTGCAGCCAAGAAAATCAAATTACTTTGTTTTTCAAAGCAATTTTTATTATCTTTTCCTGGAAAGCAGCTTGCCCAAAAGTTCCACTAAGTACTTTCTAAAGAACCATTTATTTTTCTATTTTCTTGCTATTAAAAAAAAAATGTTGTGGCTACACGAGATTAAAGAGCAGAAGGAAATTGAGTCACGATGGCCTGAAAAACAGCACATAGGAAATAAAAATCTGGTAAATAAGGGAGCTGTTCCCAGAGGAAAATCAATTTTGTATTCTTTCCAAGTGAGGACTCCCATCAGCTGTAACACTGAGTTCACCAGCGTGTTCAAATACATATGGCACCAACAGAGCTGGCTTTATAGCAGCCATTATCTTGATTTTATTTTCAGTTTTATCCATTTTATACTGGGTACCAAAGGAACTACTAATCATGTAATCCTACAATTATAGTGGAAGTTTTTAAAGCTTAATTCATCTGGGGTGGGAATCTATACTGACCACAGAATCCTTGTAGCTTTTAAATTCACATTGGAGAGTTAACCTTGAAATCAACCACTAAAACACTCTGAATAACACAAATTATCAAAGCTTTTATGTTCTGCTTGCATTAGTTTAATCGTTTGATATTATGATCAAAGCACCCATTTTTGCTTGAACTGAAGAACTTGAATTACTGTAATATTTTTATGGGCTGTTGTGGAGTTGCAGAGGGGGACAAACAGCACAGGAGGAAAATGCTGGAAGTGAAAAATAAATGAGGAGGATGCAAATGGTCATTGTGTTCATGGAATAGCAGCTGGTAAGAAAATAGGCAACATAACAGAGTTTAACTGCTTGCAGCAATTTGAAAATATTTAAATGCACGACCACGTAGCAAGAGTAAAAGTTGATTTTTGTCTGGAATTCAAAAGTGCCAAGAAATTCAGCAAGCAATGACAAATAACTGTTGAACTTTGTGATTAAGATGGATGGAAAGTGTTTTCACTTCTATAAAATGAAGTTCAGAAAGGCCCAGATCAGGAACACGCTGGCTTTGAAAGCAGGGAGAACTCCATCCAAGCAAGGAGGCTGCATCCTAAAGCTGGGCTTCCCTTAATTAACTTCTGTACTCACACGCAATTAAAAAAAAAGTTCTAGAATATGCAATTTCCCCCCCCATGCCCAGGCAAATGTACAAGTTTCTGTTCAAGTAATTTATGCAGTTGTTGTTCTGCAAGACAAATTTCAAAAGATGACAGAACAGGGAACATACATATATATAGACTACAATAAAATATCTGCATTTCCTCCCATAAACCCTTTATTAGAGATTTACTACCTCAGTAATGTGCAAAGGAATCAACATGAATACCTTCTACTTTCAGGGAAATTCATGTAAATTCCTTCAAACTCTTGCAAGGTTTTAATTTATGAAAGCATAAATTCTACTCGCAGCACAAAGCCATTTCCTTGAAACCATTTCAAACCACACACCCTGAACAGAATTCCCCTGCTCTCCTCAAAGACAGAGGCTTCTTCACCTTCCATTGCCCACCACTCCACAGGAAAATCAGGCATTTCACAGAACTGGACTCAAAAATGGGCATGAGAGGCAGTTTTGGCCTTCAGCAGCAAGGGCTCTTACTGACAAAGCCTCTCTGAGCAGCCATCCCAACTTGATCCCACTTCATGCTGCAGCAAGAGTGAAAAACCAACTGAATCCAACACATAAATAACTGATGTCAAGGTAGGAACAGGAGGCAAATAGAGAAAATGAGGAAAAGATGAAGAAAAAATACCTCAACAGCAAAACCCACCAGAAAAAATGCCCAAGGGTGAGGAGACGCCCCCAAAAAAAGGGAAGCAACCCAAAGGATGCCTGGCCTGATTTCCTTCTATTAGCAAGGATAAAATGTTGGTTGTTTTCATTTCCAAATGAAAAGAAATCAGCAGCAGTAAAAACCACCTCACCCACCCTCACAGGAAAATGAGGACTCCCACCCATGGTGGAAAGAAATCCAAGAAATGGCAAAGTGGGAGAATTCCAAAGTCAAACTAATTTGCTGACACAGGGAACAGCGAGGACAGAGGAGAAATGAGTTCTGGAAGGAATGATGTGGATTCTTGGACAGCAGGTTCAGAAAGAAGTCCAAGGTAAGAGGCAAGGATGGAATTTTTCACGTCTGAATAGGTGCAGATGGGGGCGAAACAGCCTGGGGGAACTGCAGTGCTCTCCCCAAACAGCCTGTCTAAAAACCCACATCAACCCCAAAAGCTTTTCATGGAACAATCTTCATGGCCAAAGAGAGGGAAAAAAAGCAGCAAAATTTCTCAGTTTTGCCAAATTGTGTCAGTCTGGCTCTCAGTTTGGCCCTAAGAAAATGTTGGCTTGCAGACAGCACCTGCAGCTCGAAGGTGGGAAGAAATGCAGCACCTTGAACGTGTGGACCTCAAACCCTGGAGATAAAAGGATTTGTGAGACAAAGAAAAAAGCCAATAGAGAAGTTAAACTTGTGTTTCAGCAGAGTCCCTGTAACGCACAGAGCAAACAGGAGCAGGGAATGTGTGATAATGCATTGTCCAATGATTCCTGTCAGGGGCAGAGCAATACAAGCACTCAGATCCATCAATATTGTCTCTGCACAAACACTGAATGCAACTCCCTTAATCGTGCATCATTAAACCTTGGACTGATTAAGAGATTATTTTGCATATTATTATTTAATTATAGTAGAAAATCAGAGATGGCACAATATTATTCTGACACGGAAGGCAATAATTTCCTTCACCTTATTATTTTCCTTTTATTAATTGCTCCTCTGAAAAAACTCCTCAAGCCAATCCTATCCACTGGTTTTGGAGACAGCAGGGCACAGTCTGCACGCTAAGGAAGGCTTAGTGAGTGTCTGCTGGAGCAGTTGAGTCCCAGAAAATGCTCCCAGCAGTTAATCCCATGTTGATGGGGAGCACGAGCTGCTCCCTGCAGCCAAGCTAAGCATTTTGTATTTACATTAATACAGCAACAGGAGCAAAGGTCACACTAATCCCTTCTAAAATAAGATTGCATCAGACTGAGAGTCCTCCCCACAACAAGAGGTGAAATGATACATTTTGATTAGGTGCAGTGCCTCTTGCATGAGACATTTCAATGATGCAGAGCTGGGATGGCCATGTCCACGGCTGGAAAACACTCTGAAGGGAAAGCCAACATCAATTACTTCAGTAAGCAAAAGCAGGTCTGCACCAAGCAAATTAACTGGTGGATTTTTAAGTCTAGACAGCATTTGCACCATAACTACATTGTAAGCATACTAATGACTCTTTATTTCTCAGTGCCCGAGGGCAGATGGAAGGAGCCTTTCACAAAGGAGTGAGAGGCAGTTTGGAGGGAAATGGGTGAGCAAGTTCATAATCTGCAGGAATTACAAGCATTGATTACTCAATTCATAGCAAGCAAGTTTCTGTTTGTTAGGACAATAAACAATAAATGTTAAACACCTCAGGGCCAAAGGGGAAGAACAGCTCCACTTTACCCAGTCAGAGGAGCTGCCATCCTCCTCCTCCAACAACTGGGAAAGCTTTCTGACACAGAGTCCTGGGCCTTAACAACCAACCCACCATGCAGAACAGAACTGCTCCCTGACACAATCTCCCCTGCACTTTGCAGCTTTAGGAGCAGGAGCAGGTCTGCCCAAATGGCAGGAGCAGCTTTTCCCCAGCCTTCCACCTTTACCTCACTAACCAAACAGCAAACAATGCCACAGAATAGAAGCTTTTTAGTTAAACTGCTTTTTTATATCACAACTACAAGTCATTTAGAAATCAGATGTCCCAGTTTTAGAAGAACAACCAGGAGCCCTGGAGCTGCTGGGTGAGAAGAGCTGTGCAATCAGCAGTGAGGGATATCACCTCCAGAGCACTCCAGAAACTCACCCCACTTTGATGTTGGCTTAATTACAGATG